TGAGACCTTAAGTTGTTTCCAGTTGTGTCTGTGAAATCAGTCCTCAAGGATCTGGGAAGACCCCTTTCATGTTTCCTGCAGACTTAGGGTCTTTCATGATTAGCTCTCTTTAATTATTCAAAGTTCTGTCTTTTGCCAAACTTCACATGGACACCAGAAAATACTTCAGTAGTATTTTCTACTTTTTAAAAGCCCACTAGCTTTAAAGCATTCCCGATTTTAAAGGAATGTGAGTGTGGAAAGTACTTGCTAAGCCCTTCCCCCTCTTTTGTGTTTTTTTCTTTTTCTTTGATACTGCATCTTGCTCTGTCAGCCAGGCTGTAGTGCAAGGGCGCGATCATGGCTCACTGCAGCCTTGAACTCCAAGGCTCAAGCAATCCTCCCATCTCAGCCTCTCAAGTAGGTGGGACTACAGGCACACGCCACCATGCCCGGGTAGTTTTTTTTATTTTTTATTGCCCAGACTGGTCTTGAACTTCTTGCCTCAAGCATTCCTCCTGAATTGGCCACCCAAAGAGCTGGGATTATAGGCCTGAGCCACTGTGCCCAGCTTCTTTTCTATATTTTTGTTAAAGCAAAAAAAAAAAAAAAAAAAAAAAAAAGGGGTGGGCGGTTACAGTTAACATTTGTTTTTAAGGTCTTCTTGACCAATCACAGATATCTTTTGAAAACTTTTTACTTGCTATCCCTTTAAACCATCAATGTATTATTTTGGAGCCATATCATTGTCATATTGATGATCTAGTGGACTTGGTGGGTTCGGTCTCACATTTGTTATTACTTTTTCTCCTTCTGGCATAGCCTGTGTGACAGTCCTAGTTTTCTTAGTTTGCTCTCTGCAAAAGGGAGATACTACTAGCAAAGAATCTCAAAACAATGTTTTCACCTTTGTCATTGGCAATAATAATTCAGCACTTCCAGTTAAAGACAAGGTTTACAATAAGCAATTTGTTTATTCTTTATAAGTTAATCTTTAAAACCACAAGTGGTAGATAACTGGTGAACTCAATTAGCTTCATTAGAAAAAAGTAAACCAAGCTGTAAAGACTACATATGATTAGTACTATGGAAATTCTTCCTAGAATCCAGTGAGGAATTAAAAAAAAAAAAAAGAAAGAAACAAGGAAAACACTCTTCCAAAGTCTATATACCATTTTGAAACATCTTGAATTTAAATTTTAATAACTTAGAGTGTAGGTATGAAAGGGACAATCTACAATTTTTCTGAAAATTAGAATGACTTTTCTTTTCATAGCAACTGTGAACATCAGTCATGTTAGCCAAAGGGCAATGATTGTCTTATCTTGAAGAGTAACCATATTTTGTTTATCTGAAGTGGTAATAACCTTTGTACAGTTATGTAGACACTGAACAACATGTAGGAGGCCAGGAGGCATCCCCTTAGATGGTCCCTTTTACATGTCAGTTGCTTTGTGCCGGATATCCACCTCCACTAAAATTTATTGATGAATTGTAATGGTAACATATACTCATTGTGAAAAAATTCAAAATATATAGAAGTATGAAAATAGAAAATGGAAGTATCCTGCCCTCTCCCTACCTGTGTGCTTTTTTCATGTGGCACATACTATCTTTTCATGTAGCCACTGTTATTTTTGCTGGCTGCCTTGGAAGCCACTTGTGAATGAACGCTAAGTTTTTAATCAGTCATTACTGGGGGACATCAAAATTGTTTCCAGTTGTGAGCTGAGATAGAACAATGAGTTATGAGCTTCCTTCTCTTTACATTCTTGTGCGTTGCTCTATTATGTATGATAAATTTCTAAAAGTAAAATCACTGGGACAAAGGATACACACACACACACATACACACGCACATACACACACACACATTTTTGAAACAGGGTCTCACTCTGTCATCCAGGCTGGAATGCAGTGGTGCAATCACAGTTTACCCTTGACCTCCCAGGCTCAAGTGATCCTCCCACCTCAGCCTCCCAGGTAGCTGGGACCACAGCACACACCACCATGATTTTTTATTATTTTTTTCAGTTTTTGTAGAGACAGGGTCTCCCTATGTTGCCTAAGCTGGTCTCAAATTCCTAGGCTCAGGCAGTTCTCTTGCCTCAGCCTCCCAAAGTGCCGGGATTATAGGCATAAGCCACCACACCCAGCCTGGGTATAGATTATTTATTTTGTTTACTTCGACCAAGTTTTTGATGAGAGCTGAACAGCAAACAATTAAAAATAAGATCACCTTTAAATACTTGGAGAATGACAAATGTCTAGTTCGTTAGTTGAAAGGCAATTCATATGTATTACCTAGTTTATGTACACAATTTTGTCTAAAAGTTTAATAAGTGCATCTCTTAAGTGCTGCTTAGCAACACAGAAACTCTGATGACTGTATTTCTAGAAAATAAGTCCTAAGCCTAAGCATTTATAAAATAATTGTCAAGAAATCTTTAGAATGATCATGCTATTAAGGATACATTGTTATATCTAAGAAATGATAAGGCAATTTCAAGGTGCCTCCTTAAATTCATAAAGTTGATTTTTCTTAAAGTAATACATATTTTTGTTTTAGGAACTGGAACAGTACAAAAGAAATTCTTCCAAGTCGTGGAAACAAATCGAACTTGATTCTTGAACCTAATTCAATTATTGCATCTTCTTTTCCAAATCCAAATAAGATTATATTATGAATTAACTATTGTGACAATATGTGAAGAAAGTTAAACTGTATAATTTGTTAAAGGACAAGCTGGGTTTCTTGAACTAGTGCATCTCCCTGTATATCTTGAAGCTTTTTAAAAGGAAAAAAAATTCAGAACCATGTGTAATTTTTTTTAATAAAATAATCTTCTACTTAGCTTTAACATGTTTAAGTGGTATATATTCAATTCAGCATGTATAAGTTTCTGCTTATAGGTTTTTAAGAATATAAAAGTGAGAGTATTTGCTGACAGTTTTACATGCAAGGTTTAGTGCCCATATTAGACACATTCCTTCCAAAAGGCGCTCTCAGCTATAGCTGGGAGGAAACCAGAATTGGGTTCACAGATGTCAAAATTTTACTCTAACACTGTAAAAAAGCACCTGAAATAGGAGATGTGCAGTCCTGTGTCCCCACACCTAGAAAGTCTCAATCAGTGGTCTGGAATGGGGCATTTTTAATCAGCACCCATTTCAGCCCCCCGTGAGACTGACACATTTGTTTTAAATATCACTTTTTGAAGAACAGGCACATTTAAGGAGATATCCTACCAAGAAGCAGGACAAAACATCATGTGTTGGGGATAACCAGGATTATTTCCAACGTGGGATAGCCTTTAATAAGCCGCTCCAATCTGTAGCATACCTGCTAACCAGTTCATTTTGAGTAAGTATAGTTGCTATGATTAAAAATTATTCTGCATTCTTCCATGTCCACCTATAAAATATGTTGACTCTAATATGCCATGCACCCAGCTGCAGATAAGCACATTTACTACCCCAAGGGAGTGATGTCTGTGCAGATAGCAAGCCATCTGCTTATTGCAACAAACTAGGACTTCATAAATTGTTTGCAGTATGTGTGGTTCTAAAACCCTTGAAAACAGAATTTTCAGCATGTTTCCAAGGAACCTCAGTCTTAAGCACAGGTTTCTTGCTGAGTGCTATGGGAAAAGAGATCCCTTGAAATTTACAGTGAATATTATGATCTCAGAAATATCACTGACTTGGTAGGAAGAAACAGCCTATTCCACAAGAGTAATAGGAATTGTTATTATGTAATGTGATTTTCTTACACATCACTGTCCATTTTTGACTTGAGACACAAACTGTCACATATTGAAAGCCATTGTGTTTTTCTAAGGTGGTATCACTAACATTTAATAGCTTGAAGTCACGTGTGATGTCAGTTTTCCAAATGTTTCTGAGCTAGAATGAAATTCATCTGCATATGAATAGTAGAAAATGTTTCCACTTATGTTGTACACCCATATCTTTAGTAAGTTGAAATCAGTGATTTCAAAAGAGGTTCCTTTGGGACTCTTTTTGAACTACTTTAATAGATTATGATCTCCAGAATTGTCTATAACTGATGTGACATATATAATCTGTAAAACATTGTGTAACTATTATACCATAATCATCCATGTCAAAGACCTTTTATAAAAATTGACAATACTAGTCTGATAATTTACCAATTCCTCCACATCCTTAAATACCGTTCTAAGAAAGAGAATTTTACTATGGTTTCCTTAATGAAATTATCTTTCCTACTTCAGTATGTGACATTTAAATGCTATAATTTATCTTTCTTCACAAGTTAGGTCACAGTAAGTGAACAAGTTCATGTGCTCTCTACCATATTCTCACCCAAAGTTACCATAGTAACATTGAGACAGTTTCATTTTGGGTTCGTACATGAATTACGATCAATCAGAATCAGTCATTTTAATACAGAACCCGTTTTTAGTAACCTATTTACATCATTTTATCCTTGAAAATATGTAATACAGATATCTATATTTATACATATCAGCGCTCTTTACAGTTCAAGAATCTGAATTTCTAGTGTGTACCCTGTTTTTCTTGTAAATAGTATGTCAGCACTTTCTTTCTTTCTTTTTTAGAGACAAGGTCTTGCTCTGTCTCTGTTGCCCAGGCTGGAGCGCAGTGGTTACCCTCACAGCTCACTGCAGCCCCTAACTCCTGGGTTTAAGCGATCCTCCCACATCAGCCTCCTGAGCCGCTGGGATTACAGACATGAGACACCATGTCTAGCTACATCAGCATTTTTTCTATATGGACTTTAACATCTGATCTCCAACCTTAAGTAGGTTATTTCTCAGGGCATACACTTAAACATTTACTTGTAATTCTGTAAGTAAACTCAACTGAAAGTGGAAAATAGCAAACGAATCTTTAAAAACATAACCAGAGGTTTGTCTGGTGTGTTTTGTTCACTGTTGAGCCCACTGCTACAGCTTTTATTTTAATCCTCAGTAAAGTCACCGGGTGCTCTGTCACACTGGTGCTCATTATCCATCTGCCCAGCATTCTCTCAATGTGATCAGGTAACTCCAGCCCCTCGTGTGGACATGTGCAGTTAACTCTGCGTTTTCCATGAACAGAAGCATTCTTACCCAATTCTGCATGATAACCTTGTTTCAGCTAAACCCACAACTTTTTTTCTGTCACTTACAGTCAGTAATCCTTCAAACCTTTTGTTTCTGCCTAATCCTTTCTCAAATGTAAGCATATTTTTAAGCTGAACTATTTTTTTTCTGTGTCTAGAACAAGGGGAAAAAATAGTCACACGAGTCTCCCATTGATTTATGAATGATTATTATTTACATTGTTGGGCCAGCTTAGCCACAAACTTCCAAATACCACATGTTCAGCAAGGGACTGAACCACTTCCACTGCATTCAGGGCCTGCATGGGTCCAAGAGGCACAAATGGAGTCTTAATGGTTAAAGGACTGAAGATGTCCTATCAAGAAAGAAATACTTGGCACTCTTCATTTCACACATTCAGAGCAGTCATGCATAGTCAGCAGCTTCACTCCCATTTTCCCAGCCATGGTTTTCACTACCTGCTAATGAGATGATCTCTTATTTTGAAAACAACTATTCCTAGGATGACAAGAGCTGGAATAAATGAATACAAAACCAGAAAGTTCACTGTGAATCTAGATGTTGCACCTGGGCAGGTTTGCTCAATGAACTGAATTCCTTGAGTGAAGGCACACATTGGGTTAGTTGTCACAGAAACATTTGCGCTGCCTGCCGAGGAAAAGATTTACAGTGTCAGGTATGGTTTATCTCAGGTAATTTAATCAACAAGTATTTACCAAATGCTTGCTAAGTACCCTTCTTAATGAAAAATACAGGACACTTTAGTAACCCCAGCATTTACAATTTGTTGAAGCAAGAGTGAGCAGTTCTGGGCTTTGGCTTCATTTGAAGATGGACATGTTTTTGTTTCTGTTTTGCGTATAGATTCATTATATATTCATGATAAAAATCATGATCACTTAGCAGGGGCTATCCTAAAGTTACTGACATTATCACCTAAACTTATTTAAAACAGCTACTAAATTCAGCCATATTCTTTGGTTGTCTTTGGAGTGGCCCTGAGGTTTTGTGTTTTTTTTTTTTTTTTTTTGAGACCCAGTTTCACTCTGCCATCCAGGCTAGAGTGCAGTGGCTCGATCTCAGCTCACTGCAACATCCGCCTCCCAGGTTCAAGTGATTCTCGTGCTTCAACCTCCCAAGTAGCTTGTATTACAGGTATGTACCACCACGCTTGGCTAATTTTTGTATTTTTAGTAGAGACAGAGTTTTACCATGTTGGCCAGGCTGGTCTCAAACCCCTGACCTCATATGATCCACCCACCTTGGCCTCCCAAAGTGCTGGGATTACAGGCATGAGCCACCATGCCCGGCCACCCTGAGATTTCTAATGACCATGAGGTCCTTGTCCTGGTCCTACTTCCATCTGGTGGGATTGAGGAATAAACTTTTGTCAAAAGTGGCTTTACTTAGCTATGTACAATGTACATTTTGGGGAATGAGAAGTCACTTCAGCCCGCTTGAATGTGTTCAGTAGATGCAGGAACTGAGTCTATCTGGAATATACTAGAGTTTACCTTAGTGTACACAAGGCCTGTCATTTTTTAACAACATTGAAGTGGCCCTTACCTATTGATCTTTGACAGGAGACTAATCTGACCACTGCTTATTTTCTTTCATTTTAAAAATCAGAGGCCGGGCGTGGTGGCTCACCCCTATAATCCCAGCATTTTGGGAGGCCGAGGCGGGCTGATCACGTGAGGTCAGGAGTTTGAGACCAGCCTGGCCAACTGGCAAAACCCTGTCTCTACTAAAAATACAAAAATTAGCCAGGCATGGTGGCGGGTGCCTGTAATCCCAGCTACTCAGAAGACTGAGGTAGGGAAAACTGCTTGAACCCAGGAGGCAGAGGTTGCAGTGAGCCAAATTGCACCATTACACTCCAGCCTGGGTGATAGAGTGAGACTCTGTCTCAAAAAAAAAAAAAAAAAAAAAAAATCAGAGAAAATGTTAGGCTGTATTTCAAAACAGAGTTTTAAATTGAATTATTATAAAACACAGCTTTTATTTCAAAAATACATTTCCTCTAAGAAATCGCTACCTCAGAGTAACATGTAAAAATAATATCCCCAAATAGAATACTTACCACAAGTGAAATTCAGTCCGTAGAACTCATTGACTATAAGAATCTCACTGCAATATTTTTGGAATGTAAAATAACTGATGATTTTAAAAGGAATGGGCATTTCTTGTATGTTTCTTAAAAAAAAAGAAAACAAAAATGAAATTCAGTAGGCTCTGGCAATAGTCCCACCAGATGAAAAGAAAGGCAATCCTTATGTCATGTTTTCCAACATGAATATAGTTTTCTATCTCTTTATTATAAAAGTTATGCTCACTATAAAAAGAAACCATCAAACAACATTGAAAATTGTAAAGAAATACCATTGCCTAGAAATAACTACTGTTAACATTTTGGTTATATATATGTTTTATATAAATGGAATTAAACTATATGTAAACTGTTAAATTATAAAGTTTTATATAAATAGAATTAAACTTTTTTTCAGAGGATAATTTGTTTCTATTAAATTGAACATGTTATCCTTTTGGGATAGAGCTATTAAATAGAATTAAACTTTTTTTTCAGAGGATAATTTGTTTCTATTAAATTGAACATGTTATCCTTTTGGGATAGAGCTATTACAGAATTTGACATATACCCATTTGCATTTTGAATTTGTTATACATTTTCATTTAAACATTGCATGATAAGTTCTTTATTTATGTATATATATATATATATATATATATTTATTGCACTTTAGGTTCTGGGGTACATGTGCAGAACATGCAGGATTGTTGCTTAGGTACATAAATGGCAGTGTGGTTTGCTGGCTCCTATATCTGGCATTTCTCCCCATGTTATTCCTCCCCAGTCTCCCTACCCGCCACTGTCCCTCCCCTATTCCCTCCCAACAGACCCCAGTGTGTGATGCTCCCCTCCCTGTGTTCATGTGTTCTCATTGTTCAACACCTGCCTATGAGTGAGAACATGCGATGTTTGATTTTCTGTTCTTGTGTCAGTTTGCTGAGAATGATGGTTTCCAGATTCATCCATGTCCCTACAAAGGACAAGAACTCATCATTTTTTATGGCTGCATAGTATTCCGTGGTGTATATAGAATTAAACTCTTCATGCTCTTTCCTAACCTACTCTTTTTCTGCCAAACGTGTGTCTCAGACATCCTTCCAAGTCAGTAAGCATAGCACTTTGTCATTTTTAGTCACAGCACGGTGGCCTGTGATAGTGAAGACCTTAATTTAACAGTTCTCTCATGATCGATTACTGTCTACTTATTTTGGTAAGCCCTATTGGCATAAACATACAAGAAAACACAGACCTAACACACCAATTGGAGGAGGAGATTTGTGATTAAACAGAAAGTTGAAGGTACCAGTGTAGGCAGTTAGAACTAACATAGAATATTAAGGAAAAAGGAAGGAGAGACTGAGCCAACATTTATTGTGAAAATGAAGTATGTCTCCTCTCCAATCTATTTCAGGTGAGACTTTATGCTGACACTGTGATCTTCTTAGTCCACTATATATTTTCTGCAAATCAAAAGATATAAAATTTTGTTTGCAAGTCACCAGTTCGAGGAGCTTGAGAACTTCAAAAGACGTATCCTATCCCTAAGGAACTCATAATGTAGTTGGAGATACAGAATATATCCTTACAACTATAAAAATACACACAATATCACACGCTACCTCCTGTCACAGTCTTCCTTTGGAGTAATGAACTATTTGTGAATAGTGTGTCTCAAATAGTAGCCTCGGCCTCCCAAAGTGAGACTGTTTGTCTCAAATAATGGTGAACCATTTGTGCCAAGGAAGTATAAAAACATGTGTGCCATATATCCATGATATTCTTGTATTTAGTACTTATGGTTTCACCTGTTTCCAAGTGGCCCCCAAACTTTCAGTTATTGGCAATTTCCTAAGGCACAAAATTGAATTAACCACATTGAGAGGTTGCTCATTGAAAAGGATACATGGGAATCGGGGAAGGAATTGGGAGAAGAGGAAGGAAATTCTAGGAAGGCAGAAATGGTATGAGTACAGGCATGTCAAGGGCTGCATATGGGACTCACTGGACCGGAAAGACTGGAGCAGAGGATGTGAAGTGTGAACAGTGGGAGGGGCGCTTGGAACAATAGCCAGAAACAGGCATTTCAGGGGCTTGACATGAGTTGAGGATGAATGACCATAAATGAGAAAGGTCAGACTGAAATCAGCATTCTGAGAAAATTAACCTGACTCCAGCAAGTAGGATGGCCAGAATGAGGACAGAGTTAAGAACAGCAAAAATAAATAAATAAAATAAAATAAAAAAGGAGCAGGCTACAGCAGGAGTTTAAGTATAAGATGGCAAAGGCCTGGAGTAGGTGATGGCCATGAGGGTGGCTGCCTGGTGGCTAGAGTGCTATCTTTTTGAGGTAGGAACTGTGGCACCTTTGTTTCTCCCTGTACCACACAGAGTCAAACACAGAACGTTCCACATGCATCTACAGTTTGATATCAGAAAAGAAAACCAACATAATTTGGTGAGTGATGCAGTGTGTATACAGTTCAAAGACAAGAGGACTCATTCACTTATTCACTCAATTCAACAAATAATGTTTGCAGGTGTAATCGGTCCACGGCCCACGGGCTGGCCGCCAAGAAGGTCTAAAATGATGAATAAGACACAGCTGCTGCCTTCAAGAGGCGGCTAATCTGTTACTGTGAAGGAAGACTGACAGGAGGTAGCATGTGATAAGCTGAGAGAGAAAAAAAGGGGGCTTTCAGAGACAGTACATCTGTAACTTTGGGAACAACAGACAGACTGCAGGTGACAGAGAGAAATTGATCAGTGAAAAGCACAGACAAAAGGAGAAGCAGCAGGAGGAACCAGAGATCTAGATGTATTGACACATTGTCCACATTATGTTGGTTTGTACTTTGTTGTTGTCATTGTTTGTTTTTGTTTTTGAAACGGAGTCTCATTCTGTCACCTAGGCTAGAGTGCAGTGGTGTAATTTTCGCTCACTGCATCTCTGCCTCCCGGGTTCAGGTGATTCTCCTGCCTCAGCCTCCTGAGTAACTGAAATTACAGGCACGTGACACCACACCCAGCTAATTCATATTATGTTGTTAAATGGGGAAAAAAGGTATGCATATATGCTACACAACAGGATGATTTCATCTTGATTAAAAATTGTATAAAATTCTGCCAGGTACCGTGGCTCACGCCTGTAAACCCAACACTTTGGGAGGCCGAGGCAGGCGGATCACCTGAGGTCAGGAGTTTGAGACCTGCCTGACCAACCTGGAGAAAACCCAACTCTACTGAAAATACAAAATTAGCCGGGCGTGGTGGTGTGCGCCCGTAATCCCAGCTACTCGGGAGACTGAGGCAGGAGAATCACCTGAACCTGGGAGGCGGAGGTTGCGGTGAGCCAAGATTGCACCATTGCACTCCAGCCTCAGCAACGAGCGAAACTCCATTTCAAAAAAACAAAAGTATATAAAATTCTAGCAAGGACTACAACAAAATTTGACTCTGAGCTCTGATACTTAAGGTAACTTTTACTTTCTTTCGCGTATAGATTTATATTGTGTGCATTTCTTCCCCCAAGAATCTGCATGATTTTGTAAGCAGAAAGAACGGCAAAGCTAGTTTCCTTGGTGTTTGAAAGAGGAGGGAGCCACCGGCACAAATGCCGCAGGCAATTGTTGACTAGGAAGATGATGACTGGGGAGAAAAATGAGAAAATGAAATGACTAACAGGTTGATGTGGCCTTTAAGAGTGGAGTTTTAATTCAGTGATGGGAGTGGAATCCATGTGCAGCCTTGGGATGTTAAGATTTTACAACTAATCTGAGAGTATTTAGTATTCTTGGCCACTGCCTACCTTTTAAGAGCAATTAACTGCCAGGCGCAGTGGCTCATGCCCGTAATCCCAGCAGGGATTTGGGAGGCCAAGGCAGTGAAATCACTTGAAGTCAGGAGTTTGTGATCAGCCTGGCCAACATGGTGAAACCTCATCTCTATTAAAAATAAAAAAAAATAGCCAGGCATGGTGGTGCATAACTGTAATCCCAGCTATTCAGGAGGCTGAGGCAGGAGAGTCACTTGAACCTGAACGGTGGAGATTGCAGTGAGCTGAGATTGTGCCACTGCACTCCAGCCTGGGTGACAGAGTGAGAAGAAGCAAAAAAAAATAAAGAGCAATTAACTTCCTTTTCCTAAAAACCCAGAACAAATGCTTCTTATGATGGGGTTACTTCCAGATAAATCCATCATAAATTGAAAATATTCTAAGTTAAAAATGCATTTAAGGCCAGGCGGAATGGCTTACACCTGTAATCTCAGAACTTTGGGAGGCTGAGACAGGGGTATCACCTGAGGTCAGGAGTTTGAAACCAACCTGGCCAATATGGTGAAATCCCATCTCTACTAAAAATACAAAAATTAGCCAGGCGTGATGCCGGGTGCCTGTAATCCCAGCTACTCAGGAGGCTGAGGCACGAAAATTACTTGAACCTGGGAGGCAGAGGTTGCAGTGAGCTGAGATGGTACCACTGCACTCCAGCCTGGGTGACTGTGTGAGATTCCGTCTCAAAAACAAACAGAAAAATGCATTTAAGACACCTAGCCTACCAAACATTACAGCTTAGCCTGGTCTATCTTAAATATGCTCAGAACACTTAACGTTAACCTACAGTTGCGAAAAATCATCTAACACAAAGCCTATTTTACAATAAATTGGTGAATATTTAATGCAATTTATTGAATTTGGTTCTGAACATACGGCATGATTGTATGGCTACTCAAAATATGATTTCTAGGCTGGGTGCAGTGGCTCATGCCTGTAATCCCAGCACTTTGGGAGGTCAAGATGAGCAAATCACTTGAGGTCAGAAGTTCGAGACTAGCCTGGCCAACATGATGAAACCCCATCTCCACTAAAAATACAAAATTATCTTGGCATGGTGGCACACACCTATAGTCCCAGCTATTCAGGAGACTGAGGCACGAGATTCACTTGAACCTGGGAAGCGGAGGTTGCAGTGAGCTGAGATTGAGCCACTGCACTTCAGCCTGGGCGACAGAGTGAGACTGTCTCAAAAAAAACAAAAACAGCCGGGTGCGGTGGCTCAAGCCTGTAATCCCAGCACTTTGGGAGGCCGAGGCGGGTGGATCACGAGGTCAAGAGATCGAGACCATCCTGGTCAACATGGTGAAACCCCGTCTCTACTAAAAATACAAAAAAATTAGCTGGGCGTAGTGGCACGTGCCTGTAATCCCAGCTACTCAGTAGGCTGAGGCAGGAGAATTGCCTGAACCCAGGAGGCGGAAGTTGCGGTGAGCCGAGATCACGCCATTGCACTCCAGCCTGGGTAACAAGAGCGAAACTCCGTCTCAAAAAAAAAAAAAACAAAAAACAAAAGCAAAATACGATTTCTACAGAACAGGTATCACTTTCTCAAAAAATCCTAAGTCGGGGATCATCTGTGCATGAAATGGCACCAGGTTAACTGAAACAGTGATTCGAATAACAACAGAGGAGATGCTGCCTAAGGTTGGGTCTGTACATTGCTGGCTTGATTCCATACTCTTGGTGTGATTTGATTTCTGCATTTTTCATGAATGTTAATAATCCACTTAAGCAACATGGACAAATACAATATAGTGGTCTTAGTGTGAAAAAATATCCTTGATTGATCAAAGCTTAGTTCACTTTGCTTTATAATATCTCACCTTCATATAACTCACTACGGTTTATAATGTGTTTTCATATTGATTATTTCCTTTGCTTCTCATGATCCCTTGAGGTAGGTGGGGCTGAAATCGTGATCTCTTTTTTATAAATGAGGAAACTAATTTAGATAGAAAAGCAACTGTGGCAAGTGGTAGAGGAAGTTTCTGACTCATAGGTCAGCCTCTCTCCAGGAAGTCACGTGCGTCATAGCCTTCATAGCGGTGTGATGAGCAAAGTCAAGTCTAAGCTTCATTTTCTTATCTGAAAATGGATTGCTCTGAGAGTTAAATAATTAAACACACACACATAATTTTATATAGTAGATGCTCAGTAATGTTTTTGCTTTTTGATTGGATTTTAAAATTTTTAAGTCAAGTCCAGGTACAGTGGCTCACACCTATAATCCCAGCACTTTGGGAGGCCAAGACGGGCAGATCACGAGGTCAGGAGTTTGAGACCAGCCTAAGCAACATGGTGAAACCCTGTCTCTACTAAAAATACAAAAATTAGCTGGACGTGGTGGTGCATCCCTGTAATCCCAGCTACTCGGGAGGCTGACGCAGAAGAATCGCTTAAACCCGGGAGGTGGAGGTCGCAGTGAGCCGAGATCATGCCACTGCACGCCAGCCTGGGTAACAGCGAGACTCCATCTACAAAAACAAGTCAAAGAAACAGCCTTCATGTTTCCTTGGGGACCCATAGATTAATTACTAGATCCCACTCACATCACCTGCTGGGATCATTTTTACCCTTTTAAAATTTTCTGCCCTTTTTGCTGCTGCTTTTTTAAAAAGTGCGGATATATTTTTTCCTGGTTGTAAAATGATACTTGTCCATTATAGAACATTTGTAAAATACAGAAATATGAAGAAAAAAATTAAAATCAATATCACCCAGAGATAATTCCTGCTATCATTTGGCTCATGTCCTTTAAGCCTTAATACTCTTTGGAACAGTTTTTTATTCTGCAGGCTCTTTTTTTAAATCTGACTAGTCTTAATTCCTAAGAATAACTGGGAACTGAGAACTAGAGTACCCACTCAACAGTATCAGGTCAGAAATGAACTAATGCATGCAAGTGATTTAGCCTGTCACGTGGGCTGTGGGTTTCTCCTGGAGCATCCAGACTGGTTTTCTTCTCTTGATATAATGGCTTATTACATGTGAATCATATCATAACATAAACTTGTCAGTTCCTGATTCTTAATAAAAAAGACATTTTATTGAACAAATGAACAGTTCAAGGTCTAAGGCAGTAATGATTAACAAGCAGTATAAATGTTCCAGACTATAAGGGAATATCTGAAATCACTATCAGTTCTCCTCTAGAATTCCTTTACAACAGTCACTATTAGGTGATCATTAATAACAGATTATCCCAATCTAAATTTTGGAATTGTGATCTCTTACCTGAGGAATCCAGATCCAATAAGCACCCCCGCAATGGACAGCAGAGCCACTACGCTGTTGACTATATTTGGGTTTTGGACCATACCAAGTAGCACAAGGGTTAGAAATTCACCAATTAAGTGGGGGGCCAAGAGAGCAGCAGAGAAATATCCAAATCTGGCAACCTCAGGATATAAGCCCAGCGTCCTAGAAAAGCATAAGCTCTTTAGTTTCTTCTCCAAGGGCTATCATTTAAGAAAAATACTGCACTTGCCTCTATGAAGAAATCCTTAGTGGTGAGTGGGTAGGAGGAGTTTGCAGAGCAAGCCACACTCCCCTTTGAAAGGCCTTTTTGGAAAGGAGCCAACATTTGAGACTATTTATTATATCAAATTGTTCCCATTGGCTGCAATTCAATGGGAGGCACATTTTCCCTTTCACAGCTCCTTCAGCTCTCATAGGAAAACGTTAAATTACTTAGACAATGGTCACAACTCACTGCAGTAAGCAGGCTTGTTGAACTCTACAGGCTTCTTCATAAATAACCATATTCTGCCTAGCTAGCACCACACCTACCTTCATGTTAAGGGCTCACCCAGCCGGCTTCCCAGCCCCTCCTTCCCTGAACCTCATCTCTGTCATGTGGAATTCTTGCCCATGTGAAAACCCCTCACTTCTTTTGTCCTCGATCAGGTTAGCCCTCCCCAGGCCGACTGACTCCATTGCATTCTTGTCTTTTATTCTACCAACCTTGTCCATTGCCTTGACCTTCGTTTTCCTTTTTGAGACAGAGTTGCACTCTGTCGCCCCAGCTGGAGTGCAGTGGTGTGATCTTGGCTCACTACAACTTCTGCCTCCTGGGTTCTGGTTATTCTCCTGCCCTAGCCTCCCAAGTAGCTGAGATTACAGGTGCCTGCCACCACACCCGGCTAATTTTTTTTTGTATTTAGTAGAGATGGGATTTCGCCATGTTGGCCAAGTTGGTCTCAAACTCCTGGCCTCAAGTGGTTTACCCACCTCAGCTTCCCAAAGTGCTAGGATTACAGATGTGAGCCTCTGTACCTGGCGTGACCTTCATTTTCTTGTAAACAAACCACCCTATATCCATGCACCTTTCCTCTTATATCCTTTCTCCAAATTACATTTCCCTAGTGATAGTGTGTCTTCAATGATCATTAGGCATGGCTGCTCTTTATCCCGTTTGTAGAGTGAGCAAAAAAGGTTGGCATGTCTTACACTCACCCCTCCTTAACACTTACTCTTCAGGCCATCTAACTTTTCCTCTGTACAAATCATGCTTATGCTATCAATGCCATTCCTCATTGTGGTCTTCTGTGACGTTTAAAACTTTCTCTCACCTTTGATGATTTTATAGCATCTGGACCCGGATCATTTTTTCTACTCTCCACTATCATTTTCCTCAAGCTCTTTAACCCTCTTGATGAGCCATCCACATCAGCGGTTCCTAATTAACTAATCTCTTCAATTCCAGTGGCTCCATCTACCTAATCTTGATGACTCACCATGTTTTGGACTTAAATATTACTCAAAAGGGTTCCACTCCCAAGATTTCAGAGTCTGAGGACACCCTCTCTGATCACAGCCTCCTGCTTCTCACTTCCCCAGTGCCCTCACTGCTGCAGATGCTTGGCCCCTTCTACCATTCTTTGCCTTATCCATTCCCACATCTGGGGACCCTACTCTCTCTTAAGCAATGGAAGGTGTGCTGGACAAGACATATTGCCACACTAAGTGGGTCCCCTCTGCCACTTTGCTTCAGCTGGCTCCGGGACCCCTAAAATTCCTTCAATGTGTATTGAGTTCTAATAGCATATTCCATTACGACTGATATAAACTCTTACTTTAAAATTTTCCCCTCCCAATTTCATTCTCTCTCCCCAGTGCTCACCAGCTGAATTCACCTCCTATTTTACTAATTTCCTGTTATCTTCATCATCTCTATTTTTCATTCTCTCTCTCCCCCTCTGTCTTCCTACACCCCATCTTTGACAGCATGACCCTAGCTGCTTGCATCCTTGATCCCATGTTATTTGGATTCCCCTATCCCTACCTTGCTCTACTCTGGAAACTTTCTCTTTGACTTATCCAAATTTTGGCTGCATTTTCATCTACTCTCAATCGAATGTGTTTTGATGGTCTTATTTACCACATCCTAAAACAACCATAGTTTGAACTTGATGGTCATTTAAGCAACTGCCCTTCTTCATCCTACCCTGTAACACCAAGCTTCTCAAAACAGTATCTGCTTCCTCCATCTCACACCTTACCCTCTTGTAAACCTGACTTGCACCCCCACAACTCTACTGAAGCTCTGTTTCAGAAGATTGCGATGGCCTCCTCCCCTGATGCCTCACCTCCTTTATCCCCTGCACCATTGAAGTGTTCATGACACTTCCTTGAAACTCTCTCCTTCCTCATCCTCTCTGACGCAGCCCAATCCTGCTTCTCTTTCTACCTCCCTGATCACCCTCTGCCTCCTCTGTTGGCTTGCTGTCCTCTTCCTACCCTCTGAATGTGTCTGTTTTAAGGTTTTACACTCAGGCTGCTTTCTCCCTGCCCCCGGGCCCCACATGCACCTGGATCCCAGCTACTTCAGAGCCCTCTTCTCCGGCCCAGGCCCTGCCGTGAATGTGGGACAGGCCGTTCCCTGGCAGGTGTCATCTTGGTGGTTTGTTCTCAGGTCTCCTGCAGCCCACAGTTGGGCTATTTACAATAAAATTAATGTCCTAGAAGATTGGACATTGCACTAGACACTGACGGGCAATGTGTAGATCCTCCAGAGCAGAGAACTCCACCCTGGAGCTCTCTCTGCACAAGTCCCACTGGCTCCATGACTCCATGGGAGCCTGGCCCTGGGTGAAATGAACAACCTCTCACCAGTAGCACACACTGCTGAAAATCATGGTGGCAACAACGCTGAAGGGGAGGACGTGCAGCGCATAGGCCAGCAGCATCTGCCACTTCTGGTAGAGGCCATCCTGACTCTCCTGGTCGCTCACAGCTCGCAGCACAGGAACTGGGGATGGAAGGTGGTTTCAGAACAGTCAGTCACCACCCAGCTGAGAGAGGGAGGGCTAGCTCAAGCTGAACATGAGGTCTGTCAGGGCTGCATGGAGTGAAAACCAGCTGGCAGGGGATTCCTAGTCAGGGAAGGAGGGGACCTGCCATCCACAGGACAATAAATCCCCACCCCACAAATCTGCACTCTACCTGAATTGCAATACAGTTGCAAAAGATGTAATTTATTTCCTTCTCTCTGAAGCAGGGAGTTGTCACCAATTCAATAAAAGTACATGCAAAGGGGGCAGGAATCAGTGATTTGAAGCACTTTGTCTCCTTTCTGTGCAGGACTCCCCCCACCCCGTCCCACCCCTGCCACCAGCAGCCTGCATTTTACACTTGCTCTCAGAAGGCCAGGCAACCCCGGTAAATGCAGACACTGAGCCTCACCTCTCGGGTCAAGCTCTAGGGCAACTTCACAGCAGTGGAGTCTTCTCCTCTTATTCCCTAACAGTGTTGCCTTTGGGTAATCCCTCTAACATCCACTTCCTGCAACGTTAGGCAACCACGTATTATCTCTGGAATTCCACTGAGTTTGAAAATGAGGTGCTGGCTGTCCTAAAATCGGCTCCAAAAAGAAGCTAATGGTGCGAAGGTGGCCTAGTCGCTGAGCTCCCGGGCTGTGCATCCAAGATGGCCAAGATGAGATAGGAGGAATGATCTTTTGAAAAGCTCCTCAAACCCTCCCCACCAGCACATCAGCACTTCCTGTTTCCCTGGATCCTTAGCCCCCAGAGAGATCCACCTGGTGAGCTCATTCATATTAACATGTTGGTAACTCAATGGTTACCTTTCCCCAGAGAGGGAATCCGGAGGGCTGGGTTTAGCTCAGAGAAATATCCTTTTGATGGTGGACTTTTGTAAGGTTACAGCTGCAGAAGGGAGGTATTTAGGGAGAAAGGTGCACCTCCAGCACGTGGACACTTACACAGATTCACAGCGTTGAGCATGCCTGTGTACGGGGTGGCACCCACAAACTGGTACAGGAGACCCACGCGGTCCTGGATAGCACCCTTTAGCACATTGTTCTGGACCCGTAGAACGAAGAAAAGGAGGAACAAACCCATGATCAGATTCTGAAGGAGACGCATAATCACTGCCAGCTTATTTCTCACCAAGTTTCTTGTCACTCTCCTGAAAACAAACAACCGTGCTGTAATTCCTTTTCAGAACTGTTATCGGGGGATGGCTAAAGTCCTCCAATGGGCATTGCTCACATGTGTGAGCCTCTTACCTCAAGAGAACACCCAGTTTAGAGAAAACTCCGGGAGAATCTTTGGTTTTGAAAGGAATCATTGGTAATGTTTTCAGGTGTTTCGTTCTTTCAATATTCTCCAAAGTTTTATGACAAATTGCTGATTTCTTGTAGGCAGATTCTATCATCTGGACTCTCTTGTAGGTTTCTATTTCCCGTTCCTTGCTTTGGGTATCCACTGACGTAAGGTCCACTAAAAGTTTTCCCAAAAGATGTCACCCAAGTGTTTTTAAATGCATGTATGTACATGGATATACATTTGGTACAGGAGTACTGGCCATAATACCTCATTCCATCAAGATAAAATTTGTGGTTATTGCCTACCTATAAAATCAGAATACTTTAAAGCATCCCAGCTGGGCCTTGAGGATCCCATTGGGATTGTCTGGGAGAATTTGGAAGCTCAGCTAATGATTCTCTGATAGAGTAGTAGCAGGGTACCAGTTTGTTTGAGACAGCCCCCCAACCTCATTCTGACAGTCATCTCTCGCAAGTTAATTGGCCGGGCCAAGTAAATTCCTTGAAGAGTATAAAACACAAAAACAAAAGCAACGGTCAAACCCACTAGTGCTGGTGTCATCCAGGTAGGAATCTGAGATTAGAAAGTTTAAAAACATTCACGATGGGGAATGTGAAAGAAAAACTTACTATAGAAGTCAAAAGGGTTTGAATGTTCAGGACAAGGGTAACCGCAGTCATTGAAGAAATCAAGCATTTCCACTGGTGTGCCACAGAAAACCAGCTCTCCGAAGCTCAGGATGGCAATTTTGTCAAAGAGCTGATCAGACAACAGATGTATTAGTGTGTGATCACAGGGCAGCAATGTACTTTGTCTCCAAGAATACTGATGCAGGGCCAAGGTCAAGTATTCCTTATGGTCACCATCTCTTTATGGGAAATACACTTCCAAGCAGTCAGTCTTTCAATGACCTTGGCCCTGCATTAGTATTCCTGGAGACAGTCAAAGCGCATCGCTACCCTTGTGAACCTAGGCTAGCACTGTGGGTTATGCTGCCTCCATCCTGAGGCCCAGCGTCACACCTGGGATAGACAGGCATGACTGGACCTGGGTCAAGTCCCAGCCACGCCATGTGAGTGACCTCGAGTGAGCTGGGGGCGGGTCTTAGTTTGTTTCTTTATTTCCATTTTAAATCTCAGCTTCTACTGTATAAAAAGCAAATAATAGCAAATTAAAGGGATACTGGGTGGAGGAAATAAGATTTTTTTGGAAGGAAATCTGTAAGATTTAGTGGAAAAACACAGCCTGCAAAGCCAATGTGGCTGCGAAATCCTCATGCTAGCTATTTACTATTACTGTGTGATCTTGGCTCAATTTGTTTCTTTGTTTTTTTTTTTGTTGTTGTTTTTTTTGGTTTTTTTTTTTTTTTTTGAGGTGAAATCTTACTCTGTCATCCAGGTTACAGTGCAGTGGCACGATCCCGGCTCACTGCAACGTCCTGGATTCAAGTGATTCTTCTGCCTCAGCCTCTTGAATAGCTGGGTTTACAGGAACATGCCGCCATGCCTGGCTATCAATTCTGAATCACTGCTAAGTTTCACTCTTTTCCTCTGTAAGGTGAATATACTGAAACACACCTCACAGGAGTGTTGTGCAGATGAAATGAGCTATGTACAGAAAGTATGTGGAACATGGTAGGTGCTGAAAGAAGTGAGTTTTCATCCTTTGCTCTTCTTCTCTCAGGATCTGTTGGCTCCAGTTGCTCTAACACTAATCTTTTTTTTCTTTTTTTTCCCTGAGACAAGGTCTTGCTCTGTCACCCAGGCTAGAGTGCAGTGGCATGATCATGACTTTCTGCAGCCTTGACCTACTGGGCTCAAGTGATCCTGTCACCTCAGCCTCCCAAGTAGCTGGGACCACAGGTGTGTACCACCATCCCTGGCCAATTTTTCTTTTTCTTCCTTTTCTTTCTTTCTTTCTTTCTTTTTTTTTTTTTTTAGAGATGGACGGTCTCACTTTATTTCCCAGGTTGGTCTCAAACTCCTGGCCTCAAGTGATCCTCTTGCCTTCACCTCCCAAAGTGCTAGAATTACAAGTGTGAGCCACTGTGCCTGGCCACTGTACAAATCTTGCCCCTGCCCCTGTGATTCCCAGCTCAACACACCATGTAACCGGCCTTTACAAGTTGAACACCTTACCTGAAAAAGCTCAGAACGGGGCTGGTGAATGGTAAGGACCACAATTCGGTTCCTGCGAGCCAGTTCCACCAGGAGGATGACAATCTGATTAGCCGTCATGCAGTCTAGGCCTGTGGTCGGCTCATCAAACAGCATGACCTCTGCCAACAAAAACAGGCCAGACTTCTGAGGCACTGCAGAGCCCAGGCTCTGTGCTTCAAACTCAGAATTCTCAACTGTCCCTTGTTGCATTTGCACCCCATCCAAACAGTGTGCAGTGGGAAGTAAACATGGAAACTGGCTTTCAGACTGAGCTCAGGAGAAAGGACCTGACCTGGAAGGGTCTAATTCCCAGCTCTGGAGCACATGTGGGGCTCAAACCCTCCAGGGGACAGGAAATAAGGAAATCAGGTCTCTCATAGGGTACTAGGCTCTGCCCAGGGCATCCTGCCAGGAAACAAAGGCTGGCAGGCTGGCATCGAGTTGTTTTGAAACAAGACTGAGTGGAGGCTGGTCAAAAAGACATAACCCCATTTCATGTCTGTAACACTTTCCAACACCAGCAGGGTCTTTGCACAGGGAAAAAAAAAAAAAAAATCTGACCAATAAAACAAGGTCTGAAGTGTGGCAGGGATTTGGGTTCTTCAGAGGGTTAAAAGTAACTTATTTCTACCTAAAAAATGACAAGGGGGCTGAGTGTGGTGGCTCATGCCTGTAATCCTAGTACTTTGAGAGGCCAACGCAGGCAGATCACTAGAGGTCAGGAGTTCAAGACCAGCCTGGCCAACATGGTGAAACCTCGTCTCTACTAAAAGTACAAAAGTTAGCTGAGCATGGTGGTGGGTGCCTGTAATCCCAGCTACTCTGGAGGCTAAGTCAGGAGAATCACTTGAACCAGGAGGCAGAGGTTGCAGTGAGCCGAGATCGTGCCACTGCACTCCAGCCTGGGTGACAAGAACGAGACTCCGTGTCAAAAAGAAAAAAAAAGTGACAAGGGCTCTTAAAAACATCTCTATCTGCCTTCTAGTGATAAACGACCATCTGAAGAACAGGCAGGCCTGGTCTGCCACAGTGCGAAGAAGGGATCTAGATGCAGTCTGCCCTCTCCAGCTGCATGTGAGTGGCGAGGGTTCCCCAGGCGACAGGGAAAATGACCAAACCAGGCAGAGGATCGACTACTCTGTTTTGACACTCCCTTCCCCACAACATAAACACTTTTGAGTGTATCATTCAAATTCCTATTTTAATTCCTGCCATTTCATGAACACCTGTGGTCATACCAAAACTCACTGGCTTTCCCCAGCCCACACAGTGGTATTGCCCTGGTAAGAAGAAACAATTGGCCAGCCAAGGCTCTGTATTCATGCAAGACTCCGGTGGAACACTGCAACACCAATGCAATGCTTCTGAGTCCAAGAGCTGATTTGTTTGGATGATGGAATCGCATCGGGAAATGAGCTACACAGCATTTCCCAAAAAAATGAGCCCCTAGTTTGAAAAACCTGTGATTTCAATTGCACACAACCCCCTTTCCCAATGAGGACTGTGAAGAAAGGGCCCACAGTATTTGCAGACACACAGAAGATGCCCAGACAGCAGCTAGTAGCAGTTCTGGGTGTCACTTACTGGGATCCTGGAGCAGCTGGGCTGCGATGGAGACCCGGCGCCGCTCACCAATGGAAATGCCACCCAAATTGTAGTTGCCAATCAGTCGGTCTGCCACATGGCTCAGACTCAGCTCTGCCATGACAGGCCTCCACCTGCAAGAGACACAAATTACAGGAAAGCTGGGAGTGGCTGCGGCTGCTTTTTCAACACCTGCCCCCCCAAGAATGCAAGGGCCACTTCCAGACTCACCACACCCTGGGGAAAGCACATCTTTTATAATAATATGATCCAATTTGACTTAAATCATAATATATGTCTCAGATCAATAAAATATGAATTTTTTAAAACATCCCCAGAGGCTGGGTGCTCTGGCTCATGCCTGTAATCCCAACACTTTGGAAGGCCGAGGAAGGACTGCTTGAGGCCAAGAGTTTGAGACCAGTTTGGGCAAAAAAGAGAGATCCCTGTCTCTATAAAAAAAGAAAATAAATTAGTTGGATGTGCTGGCATGTGCCTGTAGTCCCAGCTACTTGGGATGCTTAGACAGGAGGATCACTTGATCCCAGGAGGTTGAGACCTCAGTTAGCCATGATGGTACCACTGCACTCCAGCTTAGGCAACAGAGCAAGATCCTTCCTCAAAAGTAAAATAAAGTGGGCTAGGCATGGTGGCTCATGCCTGTAATGCCAGCACTTTGGGAGGTCGAGGTGGGTGAATCACTTGAGGTCAGGAGTTCAAGACTTGCCTGGCCAACATGGTGAAACACTGTCTGTACTAAAAATACAGAAATTAGCTTGGTGTGGTGGCGGTCACTGGTATCCCAGCTACTCGGGAGGCTGAGGCAGGAAAATTGCTTGAACCCAGGAAACAGGTTGCAGTAACCTGAGATTGTGCCACTGCACTCCAGCCTAGGCGACAGAGCAAGGCTCTGTCTCTAAATAAATAAATAAGATTCCCTAGAACAAAAACTGCTTATATACTTGCTTCAGAAAAATTAACCAGGAAACAACGGATACGTCCTTAAATTCCCATTTGCAGGAGCCTCCGTCACTCCAGCCCATACAGAAAAAATCCCCCAAAGTTATGATTACAATATCGCTTACTTTTATAAGTGTTTGGGTTTTGAAACTTTATTATAATATATGTTTTATATGTTTAAAAAATACAACTTGACTTGAACTAACCCTGTTTTCTACTATATAACCCAGGTAAATGCCAGGGTCCTATGTAGTACAATCTCAGTGTGGTTTTGCATCAGAGACATATAATCCGGCCTTCAAGATAATTAAAAATAATTCCAATCTTTACTTGAATTTCTTTAAGGACTTTAAGAGGGACCCAATTTATAACCCACAGCCACACTTAAAATTCCCTTTCCTCCAATTCTCTTCGTTCTACTTAAACCCTGCAGCTCCTTGAAACCCTCCTTCCTCCTCATTCTCAACTCCCCCAAAACAATAACTAAAAAAAAATTCTTTACCGACTTTCTAATCAAGAAGCTTGACTTTCTTCCTTCCTCTCTGTGTTTCCTTCCTCAGCTTATCTCCTCTCCGGAGACCTGTTCACAAATCTATTTCTGTCCTCCTGTACTGATTACCTCTATCTGCAGAAAGCCCGGGGGAAAGCAGAAAGAAACAGAAGATACTCATACGGTAATGAGTTTTGTTTCCAGACATCCCTAATAAGGCTGTGTTATGAAAATGGAAACAAAACCATTGCATTACAAAACAATCAGCTCGATTGCAGAAGAAGAGGGGATGAGTTGCGGACCAAAATTCCAGAGGAGTCGGGGAAGGGGTGGACAGTATAGATGAAGCTGTGACCCACCCAAATAATGGACATATCTGAAGTAGGTACAAAGGAATAATGAGAAGGTAAAAATGCATACGTAAACTAGCATGATATATTCTGGAATAAAAAAGAAAGGTCTTTTCTTGCCATCAGGGTAGAAAGATCCTAGAATTAAACTTTGCTTTGCACAGTGAGATTGCTGTGCTCACCAGCCAGTATAGATTCCCAAGCCTCCTTCTCATCTTTGTAACATCATAAGGAGTAAGCTTGCCCCTCCTGGTTTAGAAGGGATGGACAGAGAAGACATTTACTTAATTTGTCTCAGAGGTTTCACACCCCAGCAGGAATGCTCTCCCATATTTTGGAAACACTATTGGAAATAGAACTCAGAGTCCTTGTAAGGACCATTGGGATAATCAGGTCCCACCATCCATGCTCTGTGCTTTCACGTAATCTGATGTATTCCTCACATTGACCCCAGGAGAAATGCATTGTTATTGTATTTTTTATAGAGGAGAAAACAGAGAACGATCTATAACTTGCCCAAGATCATGCCATTAGCAAATGGCAGGGCCAACAGCCCCCCCCAGACACAGCCTGCTCACATTGGCCATGCTTTATTTCCAGGTTCTTCCAAGGACAGGAGCAGATCTCCCATGCTCTCTCCTTTGTTATCATCAGTACTTCTTTCCCACTGAATTGCTTGTAAGGATTTTACACCCTGTGGGCTGGATTTGCTCAGAAAGGACTCTCACTTGGAGAGAACTCTGCTATCAGGAGTTCTGCTTCCACGGAGCTGTGCCCCCTGAAGGAGGCATGGCCACATGTCATTGGTTCCCTGGGTGCTCATGGGCCTTCCCAGACTAAAGAGAAATGAAGCAGTTTCCAGGTATGGTCCGGGGTGGGTTTACCTGTGGCTACTTCCAAACTGGATACATTTAAGAAAGAGATTGAAACCTAGAAGGAGTTGACAATTCAATAGTTTCTTCCTTCATTAACTCAGTCCGGTTTGGATAAGGCACATTCAAGACGCCTCCAAGTCAGCTGAGAAAAATCAGTGGCAAAAATATCTATTCAAACAGGCGACTTGTAGAACAGCATGGTCCCAGAGAATGGTAATGCAAGCCACAGACAGAAATGAAATATTTTAGTAGCCATATTTTAAAAAGTAAAAAGAAACAGGTGAAATTAACATGATATTATTTACAGACAAAATACCATTTCAACCTGTAATCAATACTTTTTGAAATATATATATATATATTTGGTTGGGGGATACAGGCTATCCTTCAGGCTGGAGTGCAATGGTTTGCTGCAGCCTACACCTACTGGGTTCAAGGGATCCTCTTGTTTCAGCCTCCTGAGCAGCTGGGATTGCAGGTGCACGCTACTACATCTGACTAATTTTTGTATTTTTTGTAGAGACTGAGTCTCACTATGTTGCCCAGGTTGGTCTCAAACTTCTAGACTCAAGCAATCCTCCCGTCTTGGCCTCCCAAAGCGGTAGGATTACAGGCATGAGCCACCCTGCCCAACCTAAAAATTCTTAATGGGCTTTTTCATATTCTGTTTTTTCAGACTCAGAGTCTAAAATCTAATATGTATTTTACACTCAGAGCACGTGTCAGTCTTTGGACTAGTCACATTTCGAGTGTTCCAAAGGCGCATGCGACAAGGGGCTGCTCTCTCTGGCAGCACAGGGTGCACGATGCAGGATGCAGGGCACGCTCTAGAGTGAAGGGGTGACGAGTAAAGGGGAGGAATGGGTCAGCGTAGGCAAAGAGAGGAGGGCAGCAGGGATGCAAAGGCAGTCGGCTTGCCCGCCGTAAGCAGAGGGCTGCACCCACCTTCTTCTGGAAGAAGCCTGGACTGCCGCCGCGGATGGCCAGCAGCGCTGTGTAGCGCAGCGTCTCGCGCACGGTGAGGCTGCTCAGCAGGGTGTCGCTCTGCAGGAGACGCGGGCGTCAGCGTTGCCCGAGCCCCGGGGGCGGGCAGGGGGCCGGGAGTGTGGGAGACGCGCCCACCTGTAGGACGTAGGAGAAGCAGTCCTGGAACTGGTCCCGGCGCAGCTCCTGGCCGTTCACATACACCTCCCCTAGGAAGGTCCCCGTGCGCCGCAGCCTCCCAGACATGGCGTCCAGCAGCGTGGTTTTCCCGGAGCCTGGGGGGCGACAACAGAACCCCTCCGTGCTGGCCTTGGGGGAGCTTCCTGAGACCCTCTGTGCGGGCCTGACCCCGCGGGCCAGGAGTGCTACGTGATGGACCCTGTTCTAGGGATGAAGGATACTGCAGAATACATGCCCTGCCCTGTAGAATGCGCCCCCACTGTGCATGCGCCGTCTCGTGGGTCAAACTCTTAGGACGCAATTGAGTCTCTGGATTGTCCCCTGAGTGAGAGGGGCACGCCATTTTTCTTATCTGGGTCAGGACCAAAGGTGCTTTCTCTGCTTGTTTATTTGCCTTTAAAACTGTTTTGGATTCAAAAACGAAACAACTATAGGTATCAGAATAAGAACAAAGCTAAGACTCTTGGAAACGCTTGGATCCTAGAATGTCTGGATTTCTTTTTGTGTCCCGCTGGGGTGGTCTAGTTATACCCGGATGTAGGTGACATTGCCTAGAGCCTTGCTCACAAAGCAAGCAGCATCAGCAACCCCGGAGAGCTTGCCAGAAATGCAGAGCCCCAGGCCTCACCCTGACCTGCTGAGTCAGACCTGCTTCAGTCGAGTTTGAGAAGCACTGGCTTGGTGAGTCCTTTGGTAAAACCAAGTTGGCCACAGCCTGCACTAGAGCCTGGGGCACAGCCTTGCTGGGTGTCACTAGAAAGGTTCCCACAGAGAGGTTGTGGTGAACTAACTGCCTGTTGGAGGTGACTGGGGGATGATGCTTCCCTTCGTTTTCTTTTTCTTTTTTCCTTTTTGTTTTTCTGAGACTGAGTCTCGCTCCGTCACCCAGGCTGAAGTGCAGCGGCACAGCCTCAGCTCACTGCAACCTCTGCCTCCCAGGTTCAAGCAATTCTCCTGCCTCAGTCTCCCGAGTAGCTGGGTATACAGGCATGCATCACCATTCCTGGCTAATTTTTGTATTTTTAGTAGAGATGGGGTTTCACCATGTTGGCCAGGCTGGTCTCAAACTCCTGACCTCAGGTGATCCTCCTGCCTCGGCCTCTGAAAGTGCTGGGATTACAGGAGTGAGCCACTGCTTTTTTCTAAGGTTAAAGGTTAGGTGATATCTTTAGGACAAGAGCCTGCTGGCCCCTCAGTCATATTAGACACATTTACCATAGGCCCAGAGTGCATGGAGTCAGAATGACCTCCCAGACCTTTCCTATCCAAGGAGGTTGGGAAGTTGGGATTCATAACAGAGAAATAGACAGGAGGTTCTGAACTATCTGGGAAGATAGCAAGAGAAATCTACTGATGTGATGGCTTGTGCAGAGCCAAAGAGATCTTTTGTTGAAAAAAATATTGTTTTTTTTTGCGACGGAGTCTCACTCTGTCACCCAAGCTAGAGTACAATGGTGCGATCTCAGCTCACTGCAACCTCCACCTCCCTGGTTCACACAATTCTCCTGTCTCAGCCTCCTGCATAGCTAGGATTACATTACAGGTGCCTGCCACAATGCCCAGCTAATTTTTCTGTTTTTGTAGAGATGGGGTTTTACTACATTGGCCAAAGTGGTCTTGAACTCCTGACCTCAGGTGATACTCCTGCCTCAGCCTCCCAAAGTGCTGGATTACAGGCTTGAGCCACCACGGCAGGACCTTGTTAAAAGACTTTAAACAAACTTGCTTCTTGCTGTGAAAGGAACAAAGATGAATAAACTCCCTTCGCAGTTGTCTTCTTTTCTAATGCATGACAGCCAAAACTCAGAATTAGCCCCAGCATGTTCAGAGTGGGGAAAGAGGAAAACCCATTATAAAGACACAAAATGTGACTTCATTGGGATTGCCTTTCAATACATGCCCAGTAATTTCCCAATCACATGGTCCTTCTAACCAGATCCACCCTGGCTTTACATTTTTCGGATCCAATCTGAACTCTGGCAGAAGCTGCAAATATTCTGGGTCCCAGCCCCACCGCTTCATCAAAACCGGCCTCTCCAGGGATATTAAAGCCACTTTCTTGTTGCCAAATCCAGTGTATATTTCTGTGGAAGGGATCCCAAGACAGGACCACCCAACCAAGTCACTTCCAGAGTTCTGATCCATAGAAACTTTGGGAGATCATGGGTGTTGTTTTAAGCCACTAAATTTTAGGTTACATTTTTTTTAACAAAGAAATAGAAAATGAATTTAGTTTTTTTTTTAAAAAATGTGTCAAATGTTATTAACTGATTAATGAGGGAACCAGCAAGATGACAAAGACACCAATGAAATTGTCATTTTAGGCAATACTATGGAGTCATTCATAAAATTATTTTACTCATTTATTCAACAAATATTTATTAAGCACGCACTACATGACCAACCCTATTCTAGGTAATAAGGATACAGCAGAATACAGTCCCTGTCCTTGTAGAACTTGTAGCCCACTGTGGATTCATTTCAGTATAAAGGGTAGGCATTGTCCGAAAGCCGTGATTCGGGGTCTCATCAGAAGCCAGCCCACAGCCCCCACCCCAATCAAGAGTCCCTTCCGCTGTCTTGCTGTATGTGCATGAAACATGACATTGGCCTTTGGGGTACACTTCTGAGATGGGGGGTTCCATTTCTTGTTGTTCTTAGAAGTGGGACTTCTGAGAAGGGTGCTACATGCCACCTTGCTTAATCCTTTTTTAATTCTTTGTAAGAACCGCAACAGCTGAGAATTTGTTAAAGGGATAGAGGCAGTATTTTTTCTTTTTAAAGAAACACATTGTATTTATCAAAAGGAAGCTGAGCATGACCCTGGATGTTACGGTACATGTGTATAGTTAGATCCTGCTTAAAAATGGAAATAAGAACTGGCAGGAACTCTTTGAAAAGTGTAACAGTTTCAGTCAGAGCTATGGTCTGAATGTTTATGTCTCCCTAAAATTCACACATTGACATCTTCACACCCAAGATGATGGTATTGGGAGGTGGGACATGCTGGGAGGTGATATTGGGAGATGATTCGGTTATGGAGAGCTCTTAGGATTGGGATGAACGCCTCAGAGAACTGTCCCCTACATCTGCCACGCAAGGTTAGGGTGAGAAAATGGCTGTCTAGGAGGAAGTCACTCTCACCACACACCAAATCTGCTGACCCCTTGATCTTGGACTTCCTAGCCCCTAGAACTGTGAGCAACACATTTCTGTTTTTTATAAGCTACCCAGTCTACAGTATTTTGTTTCAGCGGCCTGAATGGACTGAGACAGTCCAGAAATTCCTCTCAACAGCGCTACAGTGGCCATCTGGTTGTGAGGCTGTTGTAGCGGATGAATAACTGTTGATTCAGCTCCCTGGCTCTAAGGAGGCTGACCATGCCTGCATTTGGTCATAGACTTCAATGGAGACCCCATCTCCATTGAGGAAAATAACACAAGTAGAGAGTGGTAATGAATGTCAACAATTCGTAAGCAATAGCTCAATCAAGAGGCTTCTGTGAACCCAATTTGTCAGCAGCATTTAACCTTAAAATGTACTTGATAATCCAGTGTAGCAGACACTGTGGTGTCCCCTCTTCAGGGCCGATGCTGCCATCCCCCAGCTGCTGGGAACATCAGCTGCAGAAGATTCACAGCAGGGACTTTCCCAGAGAATTGCCCTCGGCCACAAGAAGCTGCCTCACCAAAGGCTATACTCTCCAGGGCAATGACTGGCTGATGCAAGGACACAAAGGCAAACACAGCACTGGCTTTAGGCTCAAAGGTAGCTACTCTGGGAAAGAGGAGGAGACAGATGATGTGGAGGATGGGCAATGGATGACCTCCGTGCAGTTTGTAATGTTTAATTCCTTAAAAAAGAAAGAGAGTCTCGGAAACATAGCAAAAACCCTGTCGCTACAAAAGAAGATAAAAATAAATTAGCCAGACATGGTGGTGTGCACCTGTAGTCCCAGCTGAGGTGGGAGGATCACTTGAGCCCAGGAGGCTGAGGATGCAATGAGCTGAGATTGTACCACTGCACTCCAGCCTAAGTGACAGAGTGAAACTGTCTCAAAAAAAACAGAAAGAAAAGACCTGAAGCAGATAAGATCTGATAATGCCTGATGCTAATACCTGAACTTTTAAATAATATTCTCCAGTCCTTTTTTTTTTTTTTTTTTTTTTTCTTGAGACAGCATCTTGCTCTGTTGCCCAGGCTGGAGTGCAGTAGCACTGTCTTAGCTCACTGCTGCCTTAACCTCCGGGGTTCAAGCAATCCTCCCACGTCAGCCTCCTGGGTAGCTGGGACTACAGACATGTACCACCATGCCCAGCTAACTTTTTTATTTTTTTTTAAGTGATGGGGTTTCACTATGTTGCTTAGGCCAGTCTTGAACTCCTGGGCTCAAGCGATTCTCCCACCTCAGCCTCCCAAACTGCTGGGATTACAGACATGAGCCACTGTGCCCAGCCTATTCTCAATTATTGATTGTATGTCCGAAATATACCATCATAAAAAAAAAAAGCCAGTGGAATCAAAGATAGGGGCTTAATGGGCATTTTTGTGCTTATTTAATTCATTTTCCTTTTCCTATCTCTAGGCAGGGTATAGATAGGGGAAACTGTGTTTTCTGAGTACTTTCATGTGCCATGGAACTGTGGGGGCTTTTATATTTTGAAATATGAATTCACGTATGTGTTAGGCAGGATTTTATAATCTTTCAAGGATCTTGCTATAGATTTCACATTGGTGGCAGGTTCTATTAACAGTCAGACATCATTAGATTTCATTCTAATATCAAACCTGTGGCTTTCTTGCTACAAATCTATCTGTTTCTTCAGGGTGGAGTTTAACTCAAGCCAAAGCCTTTTCAGAATCCTTCATCCCAAGCTTACCTGAGCTTCCTAGGATGCACATGACCTGCCCGCTCTCCACATATAAGGAGACGTCTTTGAGGATCTGCCTGGTCCACTGTCGCCGGCAAGATGTGATGTCCCACCAGGGCTCCACACGGTGGCTTTAAAGGAAATCCCAGGAAGGCAAAGGCAGCATGGGGCCCTGGAAGGGGCTACACCCAGGTCCCCAGCATTGATCCCACCTGTGTGCCACCCCAGTTATCTTCAGACAGGCTCCTAACGTGTTGTGTTTCAGCCTCCATCCTCTGTAGAACCTGGCAGGTAGCGACTGAGGCTGTCTGTCTCCTAGGAAGGGGGCCTGTGCTGGAGCTGCTCCGAATGTCCTGCCCATGTGTCTGGGAGGTGGTTGTCCCTGCATTCGTCACCTGGATTCAAGACTCCTTGCATTCCCAGGCCCCATTCCCCAGATTCTCTCCATCCGCAGAGGGCAAGCGGTGGACACTGGGGTAGGCAGGGCACAGCTGCAACTTTGTTTATTACCAGGCCCTTCCCTGGGCAGAGGGAGGAGCCATTTACTGTTGCTACCTATTTCCCAGTGCAGCCCTCCCTGCTCTCTTCTCTCCATCCGATCCACTGAAGAGGGAGCCCAAAGTCCCCAGCCAGGCAGCTCAAGAGTGAAAAAAGGCAGCAGAGGGCGAACGTAGGGCCCCGTGCTCCTGGGGAGGAGCAGCAGCAAGGGCTCTGCCTTACCTGATGCTGTAGGAGGCATGGAGGACGCCCAGACTGTGAGGCTCAGGTGCAGTGGCAAGAGCCCCCTCCAGGGAGCTCTGGGAGCCTCTGTTTCCCTGGAGTCCTATGGACCCTCTGGGGGTCAAAGATGGAAGGTCACCCATGGCCAACGGGCAGCAAAGCTGAGCAGATTTTCTGGTAGCCTGACCCTCCTCGGAGTGGCTGCAGTTGGGGAGCCAGTGGCAGACTGCCCTGCTGGCTCCACCTGAGCCTCAGGATGGCAGGACTAGGACTTGGCCAAGGAGGCCGTTATCTGATGTACCTTTAGCCAGCGCGTCCTTATCTTGAGAGAGGGCAGAACACACATGTGTTTGCAGGTGGGCTTGCCAGAGAGGAATGCTGGGAGAGCCAGACCCAGGGCAGGAGGCTGAAGCGTCCCTGCTCCAGGAAACAGAGCGAAGACACTGGCCCTGACAGGCAGCAGCCCGGGTCTAAGAGCTGAGCCCAGGGGCACAGACCTGTGGGCCCCATGGCTGGGAAGGCCACTGAGGAGAGAGGGCTGCCAAAAGGGGCCACTCCCCAGGATGCCTTGGTGAGTGATCGATGGGGAGGTGGCCCAGGCCTGGCGGGCAGGCAGGAGAAATGGAACCTTTCTCTCTTCCCTCAGGAGCCTTCTGTCCTAGCCCCACTCAGACAGCAAGCAGCGTGAGGACATGGCCACAGGACTGTTTCCTGCATGTCCAAGGGCTGAGGGGAACAGATTCAGGGTCCCAGAGGCCTCTGAGGTCACTTCCTGCCCTGAGAAACGCTCCTTTGGAGAAGCGATGTTCTTGTGTGTGACTTGGGACAATTTTATTTTTCTTTTTGAGACGGAGTGTCGCTCTGTTGCCCAGGCTGGAATGCAGTGGCGTGATCTCAGCTCACCTCTGCCTCCCGGGTTCAAGCCATTCTCATGCCTCAGCCTCCCAAGTAGCTGGGATTACAGGCACCTACCATTTCACTGGGCAAATTTTGTATTTTTTCGTAGAGACAGTGTTTCACCATGTTGGTCAGACTCAAACTCCTGACCTCAGGTGGCCCACCCTCCTCAGCTTCCCAAAGTGCTGGGATTACAGCCGTGAGCCACCGCACCCAGCCAATTTCACTTTTTTCAAATGAGACTCCATCATAGAAACATGCTCACACGTGCCAGGGACTCCACTGGGGTCTCCTCTGCCCACGTGGCTGTCAGGTTAGTCTCAATAGTAAAGTGATGGGTGAGACAGGGTGACAGATGACTTTTGTGGGAACATCAGCATGTGTGGCTCTAGCAGGCAATCATAAGGTCTGGGAGAAAGCTGGAAGGCGTAGAAGCAGCCAGGCGGCAGGAGGTGGAGATACAAGCTTTCCTTCCTCATTTTACCTGAGAAATAGCTTTTGACTGGAATCGGGGTGTGGCAGGATTTGAAGTGGGGGGCTAAAATGGAAGACAGGTGAGAAGCAGATCCCCACCCCGTCCCCCACCCCATCCCACCTTTCCATCTCTGCCTGTTATGGGGAGGAGGGAGGAGAGAAAGACAAGCATGAATGAGGACTCCACACCCAGCAGGGAAAACCACAGGCCACCTGGACTGGCCTTGAGTTTCCAGGGCTTGACTCGGCCAGACCCAAGGAGCCCACCACCATTTCTAGTCAGTTCTGCAACCGTCACACCTGATCGTCTCTGCTCTCTGAATACTTTGTGGGGCCCACCACTTCGGGAAATGCTTATCCCTTGAATAGGATAGAAAGTCAGTGGGGCTTTCGGAACACTTTCTGCCTGGGAGGGCTGATGATTCAGCCACAGAGGCTTGAGAGGCAAAGAAATGCTAGGACCTCACATTCAGAAATGCACGCAGGCCCTGCAATTTCCGGTCCCCTTCCGTCCCATCCTGTCACTACAGGTGCTGAGTGATGGTCTGCCCCAACACCTGTGGGGCTTGGAACAAGAGGATGAGGGTCACATTTCCTATGTCTAGATATAGAAAAGTCATCAGTCAAGCTAAGAACGGTTAAATCAAACAGTTTCTGGTCAGGCGAGGTGGCTCACGCCTGTAATCCCAGCACCGTGGGAGATTGAGGTAGGTGGATCACAAGGCCAGGAGACCAAGGACCATCCTGGCCAACATGGTGAAACCCAGTCTCTACTAAAAATGCAAAAATCAGCTGGTGGCAGGTACCTGTAGTCCCAGCTACTCAGGAGGCTGAGGCAGGAGAATCTCTTGAACCCGGGAGAAGAGGTGCAGTGAGCCGAGATTGCACCACTGCATTCCAGCATGGCGACAGAGTGAGACTCTGTCTCTAAAATTAAATTAAAATTTTTAAAAAGTTTTTAGAAAAGTTTCCATCCTCTTATCTTGACATATCTTCCTTACAACCTGAAAGGCCAGGTGTAAACTGAGAAATTCTAGGGCATCTTGACTAGAATGCGCTGGTACAGGTGAGCCCCTTCCAGCCCAAGCCGCAACCTGTCCCCCTTTTCTGCTCCCTTTAGCTCCATCTCCCTCCATGGGGCCCTCAACACACTGAGTGGTCACCCTTTTGTCTACCTGCATTGCAGCCCTGCCCTGCACAGACATATGCCCCTCTGGCCTAAGGGTACTCAGGAGGTCAGGCTTGGGAGGAGGTGCACAGACCCTGGAAATGAACTTAGGGCCATTTGCACCGAGAATTCTCGCACCTTGGGTACCCGGAGCAGCAGGTGCCCTTAACCCACAAACTCCTCATGCCATGGGCAGGAGCAGTGACAGAAAAGGACAAGAGAGACCCTGGCAGCAGGCAGAATTGTGTGTGATCTAGGCTGAATCTTTTGATAAAATTTCTTCAGCCAGAAACAAGTCTCGAGTGTCCCCTCGCCAACCCCTGCAGCCGTGAGTCTCAGTACCACACTCCCTGCCAGGCACAGGCTTCTCATCTCCCAACTAGAAACGCATGCTCTGTGAGTTTCCTTCTTGCCTAGGCTTCTGACTCAGGAATTTGATCAGAAGTTAATACGAGGAGAAATTACAATGTAGCCCAGCAGGAGCAGAGCTGGTTACCTACAAATAAACCTGCTTTTGCTTTTTTGGGTGTCACCTGTCAAAAACTGGAGTGATGTTCTGACAGTCGTACTGATTAAGATGTCAGCCGAATAGATATTTAAGTATTGGAAAAATACAGAGAGTTTGTCAAAACCTCAAGAAGAGTCTAACAAATCCTTCCTGGGAGCCAAGGAAAATATTTTAAAATGGAACAGAGGTCGTTCCCAACCAAGGCACGAATTTTCTTCCTCCGAAAGATGAGCTGCCTGTGGAACTCCCGGAAGGCACCATTGCTCAGTGGTGACTGGAGTTCGAGCTGGCCCATGCCTGCCTTCCCAGCCCACAGTGAAGGGGCCTGGGGCAAGCCTTGGAACAAGGAACCAGGCACCTCTCCCTCCCTCTTACCCGGTTTCTGTTCTGCCTCCTCTTTCCTCTAGCTTTCTCCCCTTCTAAAAGCGCCACACAGCGGAACCCAGGGGGGCCACGGGTCACCTCCACACATCGCTCCAGACTCCAAATGTCTGACCTCCCTTCCTCAGCCCCTCTTCCAGGCCTATATCCAACCTGGGGATGTTTTGGTCAGCGGAAATAATTTCTCAGCTCATTTACATCTGATGCCAATTGTCTAATATCCTTCCTGCAGAAACTTGCTTTAGAAACAACAGCAATAGCTGGGCGTGGTGGCTCACGCCGGTAATCCCAGCCCTTTGAGAGGCCAAGGCGGGTGGGATCAATTGAGGTCAGGAGTTTGAGACCAGCCTGGCCAACATAGTAATAACCCCGTCTCTGCTGAAAATACAAAAATCAGCTGGGCATCGTGGCGGTTGCCTGTAATCGCAGGTACTCAGGAGGCTGAGGCAGGAGAATCATTTGAAATCCAGGAGGTGGAGGTTGCAGTGAGCTGAGATAGCACCACTGCACACCAGCCCGGGTGACAGAGTGAGACCCCATCTCATGAGTTTCTTAGCAATGAATAAGATTTTTTTTTTTTTGACAGAGTCTCACGCTGTGGCCCAAGCTGGAGTACAGAGGGACAATCTCAGTTCACTGCACCTCCACCTGCTGGGTTCAAGCGATTCTCCTGCCTCAGCCTCTTGAGTAGGGTAGCTGGGACTACGGGGGTGCACCACCATGCCAGGCTTATTTTTTGGGGGGGGGATTATAGGCATGAGCCACTGCACATAGCTGGCAATGACTAAGATTTTTTTTATTAACAACAGCAACAAAAATGGGAAAATGAGGCAATGTGTACAGTGACGGTGGAGAGGCCAAAGGGCTGACCTGGCAGGAGTCCAGACCCTCTCACCTCCTCTCCCTAACCTCCCTCCTGCTTTGGGGCTTTGGAAGCTGGGATTTGAAGTGGGAATGGAACTCCTGGAGTTCTACTCACTGGCTTGCGCTCTCAGTTTGACAACATATTGTGAAATCTTGTACACAGATCAGCTTAAAGAACTCTCATGTACCCACCACCAATTACCAACAGCTTTGAGGCCTCATCCCCACACTCCTACCTGAGTTCCCTTTCTCATTTCAGCTCTCCCCGCTCCCCAGAGACAACCCCTCTCCTGAATTAGGTGTTTATCGTTCCCACTTTTTTTCCTGTATAATTTTGGGTCTTTATGGTAATCCCAGCTGTTTGAGAGGCTGAGGTGGGAGGACTGCTTGAGCCTGAGAGGCGAGGATGCAGCGAGCTGTGATGGTGCCGCTGCTCTCCATCCCGGGTGAGACGGCAAGACCCATCTAAAGAAAAGCAAGTGGTGAGGGACTTCCTAGTTAGTTCTTTGTTTAAGTCTCAATGATTTAAGTGATTGAATTGTCAAAATAGGAGGGATTCAGATCTGCAGATGGTTGATACCATTCAAAGGTATCAGCGGATACCATGAAATACTGATTTTTAAATATACATTCAAATGAACCACCACTTCGATAATAACAACATGATGATGATGATGACCATGATGATGATGATTAGAGGAACTTCCTCTCAAAGCTCCCAACAGCATTTTCAATTGCTGTTGCATGAACTCCTCATGAAAATAAGACGAGACTTTTCTCAGGGTGGTGTCTTCCTGAGTATTGGGCATTAACTGTAGATAGCTGCTTCCCTCTCACATGCTGCATGTGTTATGGCTGTTTGGCATCAGGAGATCTTAAGCCAGCTTCAGGGAAGAGAAAACTGAAGGCCAAGGGTTTGCTCACTCCAGTCAGATCTTCTCGGAGCACAGAGGTTTGTTTATAGAAGTCTCTCCAGCACAGAGTCTGGATCTAGCCTCCACCAGCCTGAGGTTGAAGTTCTCTGGGGCAGCAAGGGA